AAAATCCAATGGCTTTGGGTATATTTACAGAGTTGTACAGCCATACCACATTCTAATTTTTGGAATATTTCTGTCACCCCCAAAAGAAGCCTCATGTCAACTTGCAGTCACTCCCTTTTTCCTTCCTTCTTCCCCAGTCCCGGGCATCCACTGGTACCTACCCTCTGTCTCCATAGACTTGTCTGTTCTGGACATTTCACGTAAATGGAGTCCTGCAGTGTGTCATCTTTTGTATCCGGCATCCTTGACTCACCTTGATGTTGCTGAGGTTCATCCATGAGTCAGTACTTCATTTCTTTTTATTGCCAAATGGTACTCAGTTGTATGAAAACAATGCCTTAATGTGATTATTCTGCATGATACATTTATTCAAATGATTATTTTTTCATTTTCTCTTCGTGTATGTTTTCGTATGTGTAACTCCTCTAGCTCCATGTAAATCCCGTGTGTTCGTCTCTTTTATTCACACAATTTAGTTCACTATTACTTTCCCCTTGTTGAAGAAATCTTCATCTGGCCCGCTCTGGCCCCAGAGCTGTGGTCTGGGGAGGTTGTCTTGTCATCTTCGGGATTCCTTTCACTTCGCTTTCTTTTTCCTGGATCAAAAACAAAAGGATGTTCTTTTCTTTCTTGGTATACTTCCATTTGGTGGAGCAAATCACCTCTCTTTCTTTAAAATTAAAAAAAAAAGGTTTATAGGAGATAAACCTTATCTGATTTCGGTTCCCGTGATTCACCCAAAAGAGGGTTTTCTTGGGGCGGGGGGAGGTTAAGTCCTTGCAGCTCTGCACTCCCTGTAGCCTCACACTTACTTATAGTTTGAGTGAGAATTAAAAAATTAAGATAATTAAAATTTTAAATGAAAGTTAGAACTTATTTATTCTCAGAATTTTGAAGGTGACTCAATCTTTTACATAAAACATGGTTTTGCGTGGGGCTGGATGCTTCACTTCCTTCTGTGTGCCCAGGGCCCTGCAGTCGTACTGCAGTGGGACACGGATGGGTCCCTGCAACCCAGTGTCCCATCTACTTCATGGGTCTTTTCCATCTCAAAGTTCCTGTTTCTCGTATTAGAGAAATTTACGTCCGAGATCTCTTTCTATGTGTTTTGTGTGTGTGTGTTTGTTTTGTTTTAAGATCTTTTTTTTTTTTTAGAGTATTCTGTTCTTTTTACATGGATGCAGTGTCTTCAGAGAGAATAAAGGATTTTTTTAAGTTTTCTTTTCCCAGATAGTCTGTTTCCTCCTCGTTGCCCTTTTTCTGGCTTCTCTTAGATGCTTTCCTCAAAGGTCTGGTAACGTTGGACTGTCTGCTCAAACCCTGACTGGAGAGCTTGCAAAGCTGGCAGGAAGTTCTGAGTAGCCGGGCAGGTCTGCAGAGCGTGACTGTCGCTGCAGGTGGCCTCGCTGAGACCTTTCTCGAAGGAATTCCAAGATGCGCCAGAGAAGAATTCCTTTACTTACAGTTCCTAAATGTCCTGGTGCCTCTTGTTTCCTTGGTGAATCCCAAAAGCACTTCCAGGCACATTCGGTCACTTTAAAGCCTATGTCTAAGTTCACCCGGAAAATGAGCACCTTTTTTTTTTCTCTTCCATGATCTGAATTTATTACTAGTATTTGACAAAGTTGTTACTGTTGTCAGTGTCATGAAGCCATTTCTGCTATCTTTAACCAAGAATGAAAACAGACAGTGGGCCCAAAGGACCTGCTAAAGTGTGTGTGTGTGTCCTTTCAAGACAGAGGTGGTAGCTTCTGTCAGATTTTTAGTCGGGTGTGACCCACAAGAGATGCTGAATGAAACCCACGGACTAGCACTAGGTTCCCTGGGGCAGCGGCCCTGACCCCGGACGCGCATCGCAGCTGTTCAAGTTTCGCTGGACACACACATCCCTAGGCCCTGGCAGCAGAAAGTTTCAGGAAAGATGTTTAAACTGACTGCTCCTGCCTGGTGGGTGGAGTCGCCCCAGCTTGGTCGTGCTGTTGAAAGGCAGTCTATACCGCAGACACACAGAACATGTTCTTAGTTCAAAGGCATGTTTGTCCTGGATAATGAAGAGTCCATTTCAGGTGAGTCAGCTTCCTTCTGACTCCGTCCCAGTTGGTTGGTGCAGAGGATCTACCACAGTGATTCTCAAACTGAGGGCATCAGACTCTCCTGAGATACTTGTTAAGAATGTAGATTCTGGGATTTCACTCTTGAGTTTTGATTCCTGAGATGTGGGAAGCAATTCTGTTTTTAACAGGCATCCTCTGTGGTCCTGATGCAGATGACCAGTGGACCGCACTTTGAGATGTGCTCATCTAAGTTTGCTCTCCATCATATTCCTGGAAGTTTTGGGGGGAGGGTTGGGATGAGGGGTCTAGTTACTGACCCCTTACTATCCTAGAGTAGTAAGGATAAGGAGTACAGCTCTTCAATCGAGGCAACCAAGATTGGACTTCAGAGGGCCCAGCTCTAGTCTTCTTCCAGCCAAATCCCGCTTCACAGAATGAGGAGTCCCAAAGGACAGGCGCACCTGAAGTCCAGCCCCGTGCCAGCTCGTGCCCTGGGTACTCAGTACCCTGGAATTTGTTGCCCAGTCTCCACCTTCCTCCTAGGTCTCGGTGATAAGTCAGTTATAGCTTTGACTTTACCAAATAGTGTCTTGTCTTCAACTTTTTCCTTTGTCCACCAAAAAGTTCCTCTGTGCCTTTACTATTCTGTCACCAGTTCTCAGATAAAGAAGCATTAATTGCATCTCCTTTGATACTGAAGAAATGAACCCTCAACTCATAGTTAGTTTTATGTAATATTTGCGGCCGCTTATTAACATCTGATATGAGGCTGCAGAGTTTTCATTGCAGTAAGTTTTGTTAGAGCAGCAGAAAGCTCCAACTTAACCAAACAATTGGGAAGTTGTGGTTCTTCTGCTGTCCTCCTTTAGAACAGCCAGGAAGGAGGAAGACACATGTTCCGTATCATTTCTTCTAAAGGGCCTGGGGAAAAGAGAGAAAGGAAGAGATTAACTGACATAATGTAACACTGGGAGCCATAAATTATGTGTTGCAATATGGCGATAGGATGTTGCATCAGAACGTGGCAGTTGTAATGCAGTGGGTATCACAACCGTGGGAGGCCCTGTGGTGCCCTGTGCCCTTTCCCTGATGATTCAGCTCTAAGTTTGTGTCCCTCCGGCTCTGCCAAGGAGAATGGTGTCGTTTCAGTTACGTTGCACCTCTCTCTCATTCCTGGCCTGGGACACAGGAACTTCTTTACGTTGAATGTTTGCCCGAGGCGGACATTATTGTACTGAGTCCCCTCGTCCTTCTGATTTCCTGTTGTCACACACCAGCAGGGGAGGGATGGGGGTTCTTCACATCTTCCTGGAAGTCTGTAGGGAAAGCTGGGAGGTGTTCTAGCGAAGCTGTAATGTCTCTACTCTTAGAACGGTTGGTTTTGAAAGTGTGTGTAACATTTCCTGAATATTTCACATTGCCTTTATCTCAAGATTTGAAAGATAGTGCTCATAAGTGACCAGGAATTTGTCCCTGAGAAACAAAGTTGAAGATTGATAGTAATGATAAGGGTAGGTGGGACACATGGGGTACATTTCAGCAAAATTCTTGATAAAGCAGATTTTGAGAGTTAATTGTTTTTTATTGTTGTTTTGCATTCTTTAACACATGACAATATAAGGTTTAAATTTCATATTTAAAACCTAAACTCCATGGACAGGGCTAATGTAGTTACATGGTAGAGCAAGTAGCATGGTGGTGGGTTGGGGAATTTGAAGGAATTGAGGCAAAGCAGTGACAGGTGATGAAAAGAAACAACCTTAATTCTGATAAAACTGGTTTTGGAGAATGTGGCTTAGATATGTGGCGATGGGTTTTTCAGTACTGACTTCTAGAATTAGTCAGACTTGCCCACCCAGTGAAGTGTAGCATTTGATCTCCACACCCTCCCTCACTCCAAGGGTCGTGCCCTGTAAAACTCCAGAGACAGAGAAGCAGAGCCTGGCTCCCAAAGACAGAGGGGAAAGCGCTGAGCAGTGCGTGACGCTCCTCTGCCCCGCGCCACGGCCATGATGGGGGAAGCAGCTCCGGATCCGGGTGGGGGGGCGGGGATACGGGGGAGAAGGCAAAACACTGCTGAGGAAACAAATAACCTTAGTGGGAAGGAGCACTCCTACCCTCACAGAGTGATGTAGTGGTGTGGTGATTCTTAGAGTGACAAGACATTAAAATAAGTTTTAGTGACTTATGAATCATTTTCACCATACCCACTGAATTAGGGAAACACACTGTGTGTGTGATAGTTTAGAGTATGGTCTTTAAGAACATATCTTCTAGAGATGAACATGGAAATACAGGTTCTGGCACAAATAATGTCTCTTTTATTGCATAAAAACCTTTATTACAAAATCATAAGCATGTAATTCTGTAACATAACAATATCACACTCAGGCACACCCTATGACATTTTAGGTGAAATGTTCAAATTGTGGTCCATCTCATGCGAGATGTTCGTGTCCCCTACCAACCACACTCGGTGGCATTACCTCTGCCAGACCCTGTATTTATAGGTGAACTGATAGGATGTCTGAGACTTACCACAAAATAATCTAGGGACTGGGGAGGTACCATGTAACAAGATTATCCATGCCGTGATGTTGAAATGCAGTGATGGGTACATAGGGCTCATTGTATTATCTCTAGTAAAATGAAGGTTCGATTTGAACCTAAATTGTCCTCAGCTAGTTGTTGTACTGAGTCTCTATTTCCTAATCTCTGAAATGAGGATAATAAAGTCTACCGTACAAGGCTGTTGTGATGATTCAACTAAAATAACATGTGCCCATTACATAACACATGGGAGTCACTCAAAAGTTGGCAGTTACTATTATAAGTAGAAAAAGATCAAGGTATCATCTTCCTTAAAGATGGAATGTTTGCTTTCTTGCTGAGGGTATGCGTGTATTTCCCCCAGTGAGTATATTAACTTGGATTTTGTCTCGACAGCTCAGGTGCCTAAAAGGCCAGAGGGGCTTCTCGGGCCAACCCCCTTTTGATGGAATCCACATCGTCAACCATTTGATAGGAGATGACGAATCATTCCATTCCTCTGATGAAGATTTTATAGATAATTCCTTACGGGAAAGCGGCATTGGTTTTCCTTTGCACAGAAAATCTGGCCCCATGTCTTTGGACCCTGCCGTGGCAAGTGGTAGTGAAAGCGAAACTGAGGACAGTGTGGTGGAGACCAGAGAGAGCAATCAAGTGGCTCGGAAGGACCAGCCCTCGAGGAAAAGAGAGTCGTACTCAACCACTGTCTGACCATCACTGTGAACTAGACTGTGGATTTTTTTAAGGGATCAGTTATATAATTAAGGGTTTTGGGGACATATCTGTTTCATATGTACATATATATATTTTTTGATCTTACCTGCCTTTTTATCTTTGCCAAACCTTCACCACTGACTTAACCATTGCCATAAAGTAGACTGGAATATGGTTAACATGAAAAATAAGGTTCTAACAGTATTACTGAATATTAAATGGTTTTTTTGTGTAGGAAATGCAATTATATCTATATATGGGAATTATTTTGAAGTTCAAAACTATGGAAAATTTAATTTTCTTCAGACAAAACTGCTCTTGTGCAATATTTTATGCTCAGTAAACAAATCGGATATTTATGTCTATCGATTTGTTTTCAGGGCAGCTGTCTACAAACATTTGACCAAGACGTACATCTGATTTATCTTGTCCTTTTGTGTTTGAGGGATTTTTTTTCCACTGAAATTACTGCTTTATTAGAGGACCACTGAAAGTTCCCAAACAGTGTTTTTTTCCATATAATTTTATGAATGCAAATTAATGGTTACCTTTCTTGAGAGTTTTAAGTTTTGTTTGAATTAATTTGTATGTACGTATGATACTTCCATATATTGCTTACTAGTCAGAGCAGTAAGTTAACTACAAATATATTATCTTTTGTACATAATTTATAAATAAGCATCACCCAATATCGAACATCATTTTATATGGAGATTGTACATGTTGCAAAATGACTGCCTTCAGCATTCTAATAGGACTTCTGTAAATAAAAAGTTAAGAGAAAATTGAAAATAAAACCAAACACTAATATTTTAATAGCTTTAGTAATTTGCTTAGCATTCAACACTGGCAAATTCATAACTGATGCTTGTTCAAAAATACTATTGGTGAGAGCTTTTACTTCATGTGTATGTAACTAATAAATTGTCCATGATTCAAAAGGTTATAGCACACATTACTTAGTGCTGATATTCTACTTAATATAAATTAAGCAATGGACTTAAGCCCAAGATACACAATAATAATATTTGCAAATAATCTTTGAACATTATCTTCAGATTCTCTGATTACTAATGTATAAAAGCCACAATAATTTTTTCCTACTGATGCTTCCTTTTTTATCATCGAGACTATTTTTCTTTGGAAATTGAATATCATTGGTAAGTTGGAGAAAACACCCAAGTTGCACTTACACCATGGAAAAACAGCAAAGAACATGTTGACTGGATGCTTTCCACTCATTTTCATCAGCAGCCTTCGAGGATAAGATAGGGGAAGGTAGAGTTCAGCGTATATGGAGATACAATTTTGCACAATATTTTTGCATGTAAGAAAAAATATGTATATTACAGAATGGAGTAGAAGAGACAGAAATAATTTTCTGTCTACAACCAGGAGCCCTGGCTGGTGTGGCTCAGTCAGTTGGAGCATCATCCCATCACCGAAGAGTGACAGGTGCCGTTCCCAGTCAGGGACATGTACGTAGATTGATGGCTTGATCCCTGGGCCAGGTGCGGGGTCCCAAGGATCCCAGTCCAAGCACGTGTGAGACAATCAATCAATGCTTCTCTCTCTTCCCTCCCCTCTCTCTAAAAGCAATGAAAAATATGTCCTTGGGTGAGGACAAAAATTTTTTAAATATATAAAAAATAAAACCAAGAGTTAAGCCTTACGTATCTCCATGGACAAGGCTTTTCCAGCAAGCCCTCTGTAGCTGTTTGAGAAGCAAGATTGAGAACCTGCCTGCTGTGTCTGCAGCACCAGGTGTAGCGGTTAAGTAATTTACCTGTGGTCACATGTTAGTAAGTAGCAGAGCCAAGATTTTAGTTCAGATCTTTCTGACACCAAAGCATTTGACAAAGTTCAGCTAACGAATTTCTCAGTGCCCATACTTTTGGACAATTAATGTGATTTTAGTTAAGTTTAAATCACATTTCACAGCTTGTGAGTATAGATACTCTCCTAGAATTGTCTGGTGCTTTGGGGGTTCTTTACGGTCAGCCCGGGAGGCTGCTGATGCCCGAGTGAAGGGAGATGATTCGTGGTCATGCGCCTGCTCTGACCCCACATTGAGAAACCTGGGTGATCTAGACCAGAGGTGAGCAACTACACACGTGAGCGGGTCCAGCCAGCTGCCTGTCTTTGTGTGACCCACAAGCTAAGATTATTTTTTACATTTTCGAATAGTTGAGGGAAAAAATATTTTGTCATATGAAAATCACGTAGAATTCAGATTTCAATGTTGATAAAGTTTCACATCAATGTGTATCCATTATGTTGTCTATGGCTGCTTTTGTGTCACCGTGGCAAAGCTGAGTGGCCTAAAATACCTGCTGTCTGGTTCTTTGGAGGAAAAGTTTGCTACCCTTGATTTAAATACTCTAAAATGTAGGCTTACTTCTTTCATTTGTCTCAGTGGAAGATCAAACCATTTGCTTTTGTGGTTGAGCTAATAGTTTGGAAACTTAAATTTCCTGGTGGATCTTGTGCTCAGAACTATTCAAAATGGAAAGTGCGCCAGCTGCTCTCTGTCATGAGGTCTTTGACACCATACACAAATCTGGGAGGGCATCTGTACCTTCGGAAAGGGAGAAAGAAAGAATTCCGGGATCTTATCACCTTCTTTAAAGTGTATATGATTGATCTTCAGGGCATGCTTCATTGAGGCAGTGTTATAATTTGACTTTAAAAGAAAGAATATCTTTCTAGAGTCATGTTTTAATTCTAAACTGTGAAAGATTCTTAGAGAATTTCATAAGTACTGTTTAATTAGGTATTAAAAGAATTATGGTAACCAAACATTAATTCACTGATACTCTTGTAATTTGGACAGTGGAAAACAAGAAACAATCGTCTCATTCAACATCTTTGATTCAAATACTCAGAAGAGTTTAAAGTCCTCCTGACCTTTAGGGTACAGTAGGATATTGTGCTCTGGTTGTATTCCATTTTATTCAGATTAAGACTTTGAGACATTGGACATTGTATTCTCGATAGATTTTAATTAGTCTGTGGTATCTTGTGTCATTTAAATGTTATTTAGTTAAACAGAGTTGAATATTGGAGCAGGGAGGAAGTGAATGAAATTTTTAAAATTCAAAATAAAAAACTTACTCCCTTGGGCTAGTCACCTGCCTGGTGCCATTGCCACTGTGGGTTGAAAGGCCCAGAGGACAGGCTTACAGGTGATCTGAATACAATGGAAATTACACTGGGGTGATGAAACAGTCCTTTTAGATCAAGAAAATACTTTTGACAGCCTTTTTAAAAATTAGTGGTAATTTTTCATCCTGCACCAAGAAGTCAAAGATGTGACTTTACACAATTTCTACCCTTTTTATTGATAAATCTTAGGCATTCAATATTTGGTGACTAATTGAGACATCATATCTCAACTGACCGGCTATTTTGGAAGGGGAAAAAACCAACTTTTTCTTGACTCATGATGCAACTCGTTACTGTCCAGACAGTGCCTTTGACTGAAAACAAGGTCTAGAGCAGGGGTGTCCCACCTGCAGCCCACAGGCCACGTGCAGCCCAGGGTGGCTATGAATGCAGCCCAACACAAAATCGTATATTTAAGACATTATGGGATTTTTTTGTGATTAAGTGTCGCAATGTACTTAACATGAGGCCCAAGACGACTCTTCTTCCTCCATTGTTGCGCAGAGATGCCAAAAGGTTGGACACCCTGGTCTAGAGCTCTTTCAGTATTTTATTTTTGACATTAGAAATTATTTGGTTCTTCAGTCTCCTTTATCTTTTACATAATGCACCATAATTTCTGGACTTAAATAAGAAAAGTGGATGAATTGTGTTTTGGTAAAGCCCTGCTGTGGTTGGCTTGATTGTTGCAGGACCAGGTATTGGCAGCTAGCATTTCACAAATCAGTGATTTACTTTGTTAAAACAATGAGCTTTAGCAAGAAAGTTATTGCTGCTCTGTTATTAGCAAAACAGTAAGTTTTTAATTAATTAATTTTACTTTAATTCATTCTATTGAAATTTAAATTTCTGGTTAAAAGTGGAATGGAGACTATAATCCAAATTTTTACATCACATCCATCGATCTACCTATCCCCTCTCTTCTCTCCAAAGAATAGATGATAGAGTAATATATTAGGTATCCAATAAGATGCAAAATTATGCTGTATTTTGTTCTACTGTTGGAATTTCTTATTATTGTACGATAACCTAAAATATTTACTTGTGCCTTTACTTTAAACAATTAAAGTTTTTTGTTTTATAAAAATTTTTGTTTCCTTAAACTATTCAACTTAAAAGAGGAGATGTATCAAAACACTTCTACTAGAGAAATGCCACTTACATGTAGATGCCTAGTCAGCAAAGGAATCCACCAAATACCATGAATAACCAAGGTAAGAGGCAACTCAGAAAGAAAGTGAAAATTCTTCAGAAAATAAAGACATGGAAATATGTGCCTTAAATGACAGAGAATTCAAGATTGCAGTTCTGAAAACGATTTAATGAGATGAAATACACTAAAAAATTGCTTGGCCTGCTAACATTAGACATTCACTAGTGAGGTTTGTGCTCTGTGGGTACCAGGACCTTATCTACCTAGTACATCCATGTGTAGTCAGTGCCAGACAGAGAGGCTGGTATGTGATATTTTTCAATTTAATGACAGGCCAGATTTTCTCTTTCCTTCAGGAACATACCAATTTTAAAAATATATTAATGCCAATATTTTCATCTCATATTTAGGTTATTGAATTAATTAGCAACTAATTCAATAAATATAGCCAAATGTATATAATCTGAGTATACATATAGAGGCTACTAGAAATTTGTGCCTTCTGCATCTTTATCACAATGTTAGAGTCTTTTAGTTTAGAAGTATAATTCACTATATATTCTGCTTTATTACTAAAAATATTTAAGGTAATTTATAAAGATCCATGAAATAAGATAGTTATAATCCAGAGTCTCTCCACCTTGGCACTATTGACATTTGGGGCCAAATTATTGCAAGCGATTGTCCTGCGTATTGTAGGATGTTTAGCAGCATCCCTGGCCTCTTCCCACTAGCAGAAAACCACAGATTTCTCCCTCTAGTCGTTCCTAAATGTCCTTGGTAGGGAAGCACCGAGAATGAAAACTGCCCCTCATTGAGAATTCTGATATAAATCTAGAAGTGGGTAAAAAAAAAAAAAAAGAAAAGAGCCACTAGGACCAAAACTATATATCTATATCTATGTCTATGTCTATATATATATATAGAGAGAGAGAGAGATGGACCACAAATTTGGAGTCAGTGAGAAAAGTAAAGCATGAACCACAATGAGGTGCTACTTTATATTTATTAGAATGAGTACTCAAGACAGAATAAGAGTTGGAAAGGAAAAATTCATAATGGAAAAATTGGGACCTCGTACATTGCTGCTGGGCATGTGAAATGGTGCGGCCATTGTAGGAAGGTGTTGGCAGTGACTCAGGAAAGCTAACTGTAGAGTTACCACATGATCTAGCAATTCCCCTTCTGGGTATACAGTCAAAACAAAGCAGGGACGCAAACAGATATTTGTATATCAGTATTCATGAGAACATTACAAGAGCCAAAAGTGGGAGCAACAAATGAGGAACAGATGAAAGGGTAAATAAAAGAGTATTTACAGGGTGGGGCAACTTTACAGTTCTGAGTACACGAAACAGTTTATTCTTGTATTATTGCTTACTAATTATTGTATCACTTTTCCATACAAACAACTATAAACTTATTTTTGCCCCACCCTGTAATGTAATGGAATATTATTCAACTATAAAGAGGAAAGAAGTTCTGATACATGCTACAATATGAATGAATCTTGAAAGCATTCTAAGTGAAATAAGCCTGGCACAGAATATGCATTCACTGGTAGGAAGTACCTAGAACAGCAAAGTCATAGAAATGTACGGTAGATGTGAGCAGGTGACAGGGGTGGGGGATAGGAAGTTGCTATTTAATGGGTGCAGAGCTTCTCTTCCGGATGATGGAAAAGTTCGAGAAATGGGTGGTGGTGATGATTGCAGGACACCAAGGGTATTTAATGCCACCATATTTTACACTTAAAAATTGTTAGAGAGGACTTCCACCAAGATGGAGGCGTAGGTGGAAACATTGTACCTTCTCGCACAACCAAGTTTAAAGATGACAAAGTTTTAGTTACAAAAATGCAGCCAAAACACAGAAAATTGAACTATACGAAAGTCCGACAACAATGAACTGTTCAGCCAGATCAGTAAGAGAGCGGAGCCAGCAGCAGAGCAGAGTCAGGCAGGAAAGATTCCTCCACCCAGGAACACAGGCAGCCGTGGGCGGATCCCAGGTGTGGGGTAGCGACAGGTGGACTCAGTGAGGGCACAAGGCAGCAGGCTGACCATGGTCACACATTCGCATGCAGATAAACCAGGTGAAAGAGCAAACAGAGAGACAGACTTCACAGCAGAGGGGACCGTCATTGTCTCTCTTTGACCCTGCCCCCACATACAGTGTCACAAACCAGTGACTGAGTTGCCACACCTTTCTGAACACCTAGGGCCCCACTCCTCATATGTAACAGGCACAAACAGATCAAAACATGCCTCGAGAAGGACTCAAAGCCCCAGAGCCTACAATTCTAAGCAACCAAGAAATAGCCAACCTTTCAGATGCACAGTTCAAAACACGTGATCAGGATGCTCACAGAACTGGTTGATTTTAGTAACAAATTAGAGGAACATATGAAGGCTAAACTAATTGAAATGAAAGGAAATGCACAGGAAACCAATAGTGATGGAAAGGAAACTGGGACTCAAATCAAGGGAGTGAGTGGACCAGAAGGAAGAAAAAAATGATCAAACAGAAAAGGATGAAAAAACAAGAATTTAAAAAATGAGGAGAGGCTTAGGAACCTCCAGGACATCTTTAAACATTCCAACATCCAAATTATAGGGGTACCAGAAAAGGAAGAGGAACAGCCACCAAGTGGAAAACTTCTTTGAACAAATAATAAAGGAGAATTTCCCCAATCTGGCAAAAGAAATAAACTTCCAGGAAATCCAGGAAGCTCAGAGAGTCCCAAAGAAGTTGGACCCAAGAAGGAACACACCAAGGCACATCATGATTACGTTAGCCAAGATAAAAATGAAGGAGAGAATCCTAGAAGCAGCAAGAGATAAGGGGACAGTCACCTACAAAGAAGTTCCCATCAGACTGCCAGTGGATTTCTCAAAAGAGAACTTGCAGGCAAGAAGGGGCTGGAAAGAAGTATTCCAAGTCATGAAATCCAAAGACCTACAACCAAGATTGCTCTATCCAGCAAAGCTTTCATTTAAAATGGAAGGACAGTTAAAGTGCTTCTCAGATAAGATCAAATTCAAGTTCATCATCACCAAGCCCTTACTATATGAAATGTTAAAGGGACTTACCTAAGAAAAAGAAGATAAAAAAGATGAACAGTGAAAGGACAGCAAACTCGAAGTTATTAACAACCACACCTAAAACAAAAGCAAACTAAGAGGACAGCTAGATCAGGAGCAGAACCATAGAAATGGAGATAACATGGAGGGTTAGCAACAGGGGAGTGGGAGAAGGAGAAGGGGGGAGAAGGTTCAGAAAATAAGTAGCATAGATGGTAGGTAGAAAATAGGGGGAGGGCAAGAATAGTATGGGAAATATAGAATCTAAAGATCTTGAGACACATGGTCATAAACTAAAGGGGAGGAATGGTGGGGGAGGGGTGTGCAGGGTGGAGGGGAATGAAGGGGGGAATGGGACAATTGTAATGGCATAGTCAATAAAATATATTTAAAAATAGTTAAAAAAGGAATATTAAAAACTTAGCATCAGCATATAAATTAAATATGTTCAAAGATATAGAAGGGAAAAAACTTATAAAAGAAACTCATTGTATTAAGCCATGAAATAAAAACAGGGTTTTTAGATTTGGGGTTCTGGCACTAGACCGGGACTCAAGCTTTACATTGATCAAACCTGGAAGAGTCACAGAAGGACTTTGTGGTCGCCTTGCTGCTCCTCCTTCACTGGACTCCCAGGGCCCAGCCCCCCCGGAATGGCCTTCCTTCGCATTCCCACTCGGGGAGCCCCCACCTCCTCCTGGTCTCCATTCAAGTATCTCTGCACAGGAAGACTGTTCTGACCCTTCCTTTTTTTTAATTTTTAAAAATGCTTTTAAAATCACTTTTTATCGTTATTCTATTACAGTTGTTCCTAAAAAATAGTTATTGATTTTAGAGAGAGAGGAAGGAAGAGAGAGAGGGAGAGACATCGATGTGAGAAACATTGATTGTCCCAGCCTGTATGTGCCCGGAATTGAACCTGCAACATTTTGGTGTACAGGATGACACTCCAACCAACAACCACCTGGGCAGGGCTGACTCTTCCTTTTAAAAAGTCCCTACCCCTCTAAGTTCTGGCCAAGACGGAGGCATGGGAAGACCCTTTGTTTCCTCGCACAACCAAAAGGAGAAAAACAACCAATCTAAAATCAATAAACAACCAGAAATGCCAGAAAATCAACCTGTATGGAACTCCATCAACCACGTAATTAAAGAAAAAATCAACCAGAACAACCAGAGTAAGGTGGTGGTGGACAGAGAGAAACGGCGGTGAGAACTGTGGGGGCAGGGCTGGCTGCTGCACAGGAGGGGCTGGCTAAGGGGAAACTAAGACTCAGAGGTGGCTATGGACAACAGCAGTTGCTGAGGTGGGAGAAACTCCCAGTCTCACACAAGAGTTCACTGCAAAGTGTGCTAGAGATGAGCAAGCGAGCTGCACTGTTCCCTCTCTGGATCTCCCCCAGGGCAGCACTGCAGCACAGCAAGGAGAGCTGCCCTGCCCAGGTGGACACCTAAGGTCCCACCCCCTGACAACTTCTCAGGGTCCCAGGGCAAAAAAAAAAATAGGGCCAAAATGAAAGAACAGAGCAAAGCTTCAGAAAGAAAGCTAAGTGATGAGGAGATGGCCAACCTATCTGATGGAGAATTTAATGCCCTGGTAATCAAAATGCTCACAGAACTGATTGAGCTTGGTCCAGAAATGAAAGAACAAGTGAAAGATACCCAAAGTGAAATAGAGCAAGATATTCAGGGAACCACCAGTGACAAGAAGGAAACCAGGACTCAAAACAATGATTTGGAGCAAAAGGAAGAAATAAACATCCAACCAGAACAGAATGAAGAAACAAGAATCAAAAAAAATGAAGAGAGGCTGAGGAATCTTTGGGGCAA